CCTCCCTCCCTCCCTCCCTCCCTCCTTCCTTCCTTCCTTCCTTCCTTCCTTCCTTCCTTCCTTCCATCTTCCAGTGAGGATGTGCTGCCACTTGCTTTGCATGTCTTGTATCCTTTTTAACTCCTCTAGCTACTTATTAATACTTAGCAAATACTATTATTATCCTTAACTTTATAGATGGGAAAATGAAGTTTTGCTAATTCAAGTACTAATCCAAGTCACATACAGTGAGTAAGTGGAAAGCCGGAATGTAAACCCAGATAGTAAGACTCTGGAGCCCTTGCTGTCATCAACTACACACTACAGCCTTTTTGTGGATGTGCTTGTTGAGACCTAAATGACGAAAAGTTAAATCACTGGTGGGAGAAAATATATAAAGCCCTTAAGTGAAAAGCGAGTTTTAGAAAATTATAGGTGGCCAGTACAATTCCCAGGAGACAGAGATGGCAGAGAGCAGGTAAAATAGCTGTGATTCTAACATCAAGAACCACTGACTTAAAACATGGCAGTATTTTGGTGCTATTGTCATTCTTAGAATATTTCTAGTTCATAAGTGACAGATAATTTGAAGGAAGATTATTTGTTAGTATATTTACAGAGTAGTTATTATTGTGGAAGACATTCCACGACTCTAAAGTGATTGCTAGAATGGTAATCAGACCTCTAGCTCTACAGCACACACACAAATTTTCCTTCTCTGCTAGACACTGTGGTGAGTTTCTGCAGAGTTATGTAGCTGGTTTGATTCCGAAATATTAGTATTAGCCTTGATCTGTCTTTTGTTGACTGCTACCTTTTGTTTGAAGTATGTAAATCTTACCTGAGAGTTTCTGAAGGGATTAAAGCCTATGCAAAATCTGGTTACAGGAGAACTCAGCAAACTGTGACAGTCCTATGATTTTTGGGAATTTGCATTGGCATGGTCTCTTTGGAAGGCATAGATAAGAGGTTTTAGTATATAGAAATTAACTTGCTTAAGGTGTGAATTGTATAACAATAAAAAAAGCCCTTTGCAAAGCAGCAGGGGTAAGTTTGCCAGAGACCCACTTGCAGCTGGGAAGGCTAAAAATTCATTCCAGAGAGCCTCTGTGTCTTCTTTATTTCATTGACCTTGTAAACCCACACCCAATAAAAGACACTTTTCATAGCATGCATATTCCAGAACTCTCCTCTTTAAAATCACATCAAACAAAATAAGACTAGTCCATCCCTTGGACTTCTTATTCTCCCCTAGGTACCACTGTATTTTTCTACTCCTTATCCAGAAAAACATGTTTGACAATACTCTAGTTCCATCATTTCCAGTCCTGATGAGCCTAGTCATGTTCCTGTTTAGCCCTACTCAAGCTGCCCATACTATCATTACAAACACATGCAATGATACACTGCAATACCATGCTTAATTACATAAGACGCAAAGCAGAAATATAAGTGAATTATATTTACTGTCATGGGCTTTAGTACTTGCTTACTTATCTATTCATCCTCACATTGATTACTGTAGCTTTTTCTGTATGCTGCAGATACCGTGTCGCATTGTGAACTCTCTTCAATTCTTAAATAGCATCCCATTCATGCTTTTAACAGGCAAGATGCTGTATCAAGATAGTAGTCTGTAAGTACACACTCCAAAAAAACCCAAGTCGAGGGGGCGTGTCGTATCACAAAAATGTTAATGGGAACAAGAAGGATCAGACTAAAGCCGTCTTCAAGAGTACATAACTAATAGGCAGTGGTTGTGTAGATTAGAGTACTGCTGGCCTTTCCAGATTTTTCCTGGCAGTCTTAAGGGGGATGTTAGGAATATTTCTTAAGATGGGCCTCTCACTGCCAATGCAAATAATTCCAATCAGACCAAACTAGACTGCGGGCTTTCTTGACCCTCCCTGGGGGTCACCATTTGGCCGGCTTTCTTGGAGTGGAGTATGGACTAAGGCAACTCCCAGGGGAGAGGGCTTGAAATGGAGTTTCCTGCCCAGTATTCCAAAGACGGATTCCAGGGCCTGGGATGAAGCTCCCATTATAATATTACAAATGTTTGGTCAAAAACATCACCCCAGTTCCCTAACACCCCTTTATACAAAGAGTCTGGAATATTATAGCCCACCTCTCCAGGGAAGGTCAAGTCCACTCCCACAAGCTACTTAAACTGCTCCCCAGAGAATTAAGACGTGGTCTCCTCGTTTCACGTGGTCACCTGTTTCCTCTTCCCCTCTCCATGCTTTCCCGGAGCCACCCAAAAACAATGCACTAAACATGGGCATTCGGTCTAATTTGGTATGGTTGGAATTATTTGCGTCGGCGGAGAGGCTCTTCTTAAGCAATAGTCCTAACTGGATAAGCTGAATCAGCATGGCACCTATCTACCATCAAATGCAGCGTCCATATTCCTCTCCAGAGATCAACTTTTCCTTGGACTCGAACTCCGGGAAGTCTCTGCTCAAGTGTACGTTGACAGAAGAGCCGCCAACATCTATTTACAACAGTAACCAAGGAAACAGGAAAGCACCCCTGTGACTTTGTATCAAGTCTAAGAACAGCACGGAGCCGTGACTTAAACTCTTGCGGGACTCGTGTGAAAGTTGAAAGGCCTGTACCCAGGCGGCTCTCGGAGGGCTTGGGGTAACAGGGAGTTACGGGGAGGGTCGTTTCGCCACGCACAACTCCCGGGGCAGCGGATTCCTCACTGTAGACCCTCCCTTTTCGGAGCGCCCACCGGCTGCACCGAGGCCGAGGGTCGCAGGCCCCTTGCCCCGCCAGAAGACTCCACTGCCCTCTTTCTCAGACCCCGCAGCTCACCCACCTGCAACCGCAGTGCGCGAAGTCTCCACCCAGGTCCAGCCTGAGCGCCCCGGCTGTGGTTGGCTCGTGCGGCTGTCCCGTTAGCTCGTCCTCCACTGCGAGTGGCTCCAGAGCCGCGTTCACCAGAGGTCACGCTGTGCGGCGGAACTCAGAGCCGCCTCTCCCCCCCGACACCGCCCCCATCAGCCCTGCCCTCTTCCCGACGCGACCTTCGGGTTGGGGGCGGAGCATCATAAACCACGCCCAGCGCCCGTCCGGCTGTGGATACGTCACAGTCAGGCGCCCAACTTCTTTGTGCGGACGCCAGAAAGGAGGTGGAGTCCCTTTGCGCAGACCCGGAAGCAGAGGCCTCGGTCAGCCCCGCTTGCGCCAGCGGCCTGGAGAGCGGCAGTTGCTGTGAGGCGCATGGTGTTCCCCGCCAAGAGGCTCTGCGTGGTGCCGTCCATGGAGGGCGTTCGCTGGGCCTTCTCCTGCGGCACCTGGCTGCCGAGTCGAGCCGAATGGCTGCTGGCGGTGCGGTCGATCCAGCCCGAGGAGAAGGAGCGCATAGGCCAGTTCGTGTTTGCCCGGGACGCCAAGGCGGCCATGGTACTCGAGGCCTGCGGCTGTGGGGAGGCGGGCAGGAGTCTCCAGCCGGGTGGGGGCTCCGGCGTGCGCGACCTGCTTCCGCCTTTGTGTCTGAGGCCTCCTCTCCTGGGATGTTGCCTGGGGAGGGCCGTCCACTTAAAACTGGAGTCCGTAGTAATCGTTTGTTTAGTAATGCATATGCTTTAAAAGTTAAAAGCTTGGAAGTTACCAAATACACAGTATGTACCGTGGGTTTTTATGTCTTTTAACAGGCCGGTCGTTTGATGATAAGGAAATTAGTTGCAGAGAAATTGAATATCCCTTGGGATCATATTCGTCTGCAAAGAACTTCAAAAGGAAAGCCCGTTCTTGCAAAAGACTCTTTGAATCCCTATCCCAATTTCAACTTTAATATCTCTCACCAAGGGGACTTTGCAGTTCTTGCTGCAGAAGCTGAGTTACAAGTTGGCATTGATATAATGAAGACTAGTTTCCCAGGTAATGGTTCATTTTTATGTCGTAGTAAAGTGAGTTATGTCTCAGATCTTAACTATTAGACAATTGTAGACCAGAATGCCCTGTAAGTACAGACACTTGCCGTACTTAATTTCTATAGTTACTGCACATTTTAACCACCTACAGCTACATTTCCTCTATAGGTGCACCTATGGCCTTCCAATACTGTTGTATTTTGCAAGTAAATTTCCAACATGAATTTTGAAGGTAACTAACTGTATTGAAACGCAGCTCCAGAGAAATGACCTGGTGTTATAGAAGCCTTATTCAAAATTAACTGCTACTGCAGAGGAGTCAGGATGAAGAGGGGAAATCTTCACACTAGCTTTTCCTCTAACTAGAAGTTAGTGGAGAGGCCACTAACATTGAGAAGGAAGACAGCACAAGACAGTGTCTGCCTAGAAATAAACAGATTTACAACCAGTTTCGTGCAGTGTTAACTGTGGTCAGTACTGAATAAGTTTTTACTAATAAACAGTGTCTGCCTGGAAACAAACAGATTTTACAACTGATTTCATGCAATGTTAAGCCATTACTAATTGAAGTTTTTAATGGTGAGAAGGTAGTTGAGCAGAGGTTGAAAATCCTGCTAATGCTTTATTAAATCTTTGACCCCCAGAAAGTTTGATTAAAGCCTTTCCCTTCACGGTTTATTTGGCTCAAAGTTTATATGCTCAGTATCACAAAGGAAGAGATACATTCTGTTGGGGCTAGGGTCATTACCATCCGACTGATTTTCAAATTGTGATTGGATCATCCTTTCTAAGTGAATAGGAAATAAACACCAGTTTGCTTCTCTGGTGATTTATTAGACCAGGATAGGTGAAGCAGCTGATCAAGGAATGTTCTTCAGTCTTGTTAAAAGATGGAAGATGTAGTGTTGAATAGAAGGGAAACTACTCTTTACCAAGCATTGTTAACTCTTGAGATATAGTCAACATGGAGGAGTACCATTAGCATATTGAAAGAGACAATTCTATTATCCACATTTTGTGTCTATAATGTCAGATATAATGTGGGAAGTCATTTTTCGTATTACCTATGATGGCTAAGTACAGCTCATTTCCTAAGTAGATTTAGACTTTGAGATCCTAGCACAAGTTGTGGAAATTCCAATGCTTAGGGAGAATGTTGTTTGCCTGGTCAAGTTTTGTCCTCATTTCCTAATTTTCATTTACTGTTAAAAATGTTTGGAGGTTCGGGTGTAAAAAAGATAGTTTTATGAATTGTTCAATTTGGCAGTATTTACAAAATAAAGTTTGGGAAGAAGTAAGAATTCTAATTGCATGGTTTTCATTTTCATGTATGAATTTATTATAAAATATTTTAGATGTATATAAAAATAAGTTAATATTTTGAGAAGCAATTCTAATTTTAAATAATTAAAAATGACTTGCTAGTTGTACTAACACACATCTGTATTCTCTGTACTTCTGGAAGTAGAAGCAGACTGATTATAAGTCCATCCTGAACTACATTGCAAGTATCTGACACACATCCCAAAATAGATGTTGTTATAGGAATTGATCTCTAGAGGAGCTATTGAATTATAAGTATAAATTAAGTGTAGTTGGTATAAAATAGGCCCGGATATTAAAGAGTCACAGCCTATTTCTTGTTTCCTCTCACATTCTTTCTTCCTCAGTATTAGTATACATTCCTAAGTGATTCTTCAGACAGAGCTGAGTGATTTTGAGATATGGACATCAGTTTTAAAATTGTGAAGTAAGTTCTCATTACACATAGAATCAGAACTCCTGAATATAACCATGTTATCTTGTTCTTTTCTGCTTTCCCTTCGTAGGCATCTACCATTTCTCATTTCTTTCTGTTTTCTTTGATCATCGTTTTCAGTCCTTGCTGCTCTTTTATTGCTTCTAGTTAGATAGACATTGCTTATCCCTCCACCTTCCCTAAGTAGCTCCCATAGTCTTTGAGAAGCGTGAATAATTTTATTGTTTGAGTTTTTGGATTTTCGAGACAGGGTTTCTCCGTAGCTTTTTGGTTCCTGCCCTGGAACTAGCTATTGTAGACCAGGCCTGCCTCTGCCTCCCGAGTGCTGGGATTAAAGGTGTGCGCCGCCACCACCCAGCTTGTTTGAGTTTTTGTATATGTATGCTTATGGTGCCAATATTATGTATGGAGGCTAGACAGCAACCCACAGCTGATGTTTCCCTCTGAAATGTCACCAGTCTTCTGGAAACAGAATCTTTTAAATCTGTAGCTCAGCAATTAAACTGCATTGGTTAGCCATTGTGAGCCTTAGGGTTCCTACATTCTCCTCCTCAGCAGTAATACTCCAGGCCATACAACCACACTTTCACGTGGGTTCTAATGGCTGAACTCAGTTTTCCATGATTTGGTGGTATGCACTTTGCTAATTTTGAACTTTCTTCATAGCTGAATGGTGAGTGTTAACTGAGATGCTATTCTATTACATGGAGTACTGTACTGGAGACCCTGTTTGAGAGTGATGTAGATGGGCTCTGAGGTTCTGGTAGTACATTAGAATGTTTTTTAATAAGTAGAATAGTAGCTAAGGGTTTTGTTGATGATTTTTGTTTTGGGTTATTATGTTTACAACAATTTTTTAGTTGTGTGATCTTGATTACATAGAACAAGTTAGTATCTGACATTCTCCTTTAATAACTACTCCTTTAATTAAACGCTTAAGAAGGATCAAGTTTTTCTAAACTTAACTGAGAGTTCACATGTTTTCTAGTCTTTCACCTTTCTTACACATGTTTTTAATATTCAGTAGGATGATTAAATATTCAGTAGGATGATTATTATAGTAGACATCAGTATAGACAAGTAGTGTTAAGAATTTTCCTGCACGTATGCTCAGTAATTATGCTGATATTTTGCGGGACAAATTTGTTTTTCTTTTGGGATTGTCTAATAGTTTTTCTTCTAATTTCCTATGTAAAGTGGATTAAAAAAATACTTGGCTAATGCGCTTTCCCCCATTAAACCACAGGGTGGTGCTGCTGGCCTTTAGTTAAGTATTTATGGACTTCCCATTGCTTGCTATTTATCTTCTGCTTTAATATTTGGCAAACTATACTCATTGGTATTTTTTCAGGCTTAAATAATGATTTATATGATTGTTTGACTTCCTTGTATGTTAATAGTTTTTTAATATATTCCTATTTTTTATCTGATTGCCTTTATACTTAGGTAAAAATTAAAGGAATTCTTGTAGGTTCTAAGTGGAAAACTTAAAAAAAAACAGACAAAATGACATGGTAAAAACAGGCTTGTCTTAAATTTATGAGTTTTGTTTATTACACCATTAAAACTAGTTTCATACAAAGAATGAAATATTCCAAATCCGAGTTAAAATGTTTCTCTCTTGATTTTATATATGCTACTTATACCAGAGTTAATTAAAAAACAAATGTTTCTCTTTTTAATTTTGTGGTTTTGGATGGTGTGTGTGTGTGTGTGTGTGTGTGTGTGTGTGTGTGTGAATTTGGAGGCCAGAGGTTACCATCAGGTATGTTCTTCTGTCACTTTCCACCTTAATGTTTTTTGACATGGTCCCTTGACTAAACCTGGATACTGGTCATTGAGTTCCTGGGATCAGCTTCTTCTCACACCTTTACCCTGACAAGTGCTTTTTCCCCCAGCGTTGGGCTTACAGACACTGGTGACTGCTATACTTGCCTGTTGGGCTTACAGACACTGGTGACTGCTATACTTGCCTGTTTTTCACAGGGGCTGAGGATTGAAACTCAGGTTCCTATGCTTGCTAAGCAAGCTACCCATTGAGCCATCTCCTCCGCCCCTTCTTTTTAAGGCTTTCTCTGGGATGGTATTTATGAAGCTAGTAAAGGCCAGAATCGGTGAATGAACTAGTTTTTATTGAAATGCTCTAGTAATTCTTAGTAAGGTGAAAATGAGCTTTAGATTACTAAAAAGCTCCATCCACGTCCCCAAATGGTAATATTTCCCTGTTATAGGACTCTAAAGATCACATTATAATATTTCAGTGCTTGAAAATGAATGAGAATCATTGTTGCAGTCTGAAGCACCAGATATTTGTGGGTTAAGCAGAAAGGGTCTATTTTTGAAGTGGGAGCACAGGGGATCCATAAACATCTTTGCACAAGAACTGATTTGTAATGTTTTCTTCCCTGACTCACTATGGGAGAGGTATTTGGTTAAACAGTGTGCGTTGTTTAACTGACTTCTAGTTGCAAGCTATTATAAGACAGTTATTTTCTTTTCCCCCTAGTGATGTAATAGGTTAAAAATTTAAAAACCAAATATAGCATAGAAATTTTGCTTTGGTTTTCTGAAAAGTATTTGGTCAGATATAAGAAATTTTGTTTTACTTGTTTAATATTTATAACAAGTTTGACTGCCAAGTCTTAAGTTTTTGAGAGCATCTTTTGAAAAAATTGTTTTTTTTTCTCCTTAATTACTTAATTCACAATTTCATGAACTCTTCTAGGTTAACCCATGGTGGTCATGGTGAGTTATTTTTAATTCCTACCTAATTTTGATATGCTGATATTTTATGTAAGTGTATTTCTTATTGTTTTTGATGTTTATGGTAGTAGGAATTCATTTCAGGGTCTTGCTTATGCCAGGCTTGCATTCTACCACTGAACTACATTCCAGCCTCTTTTAGAATTATTGCCTGTATAAATTGACTTTCCTTTTTAAGTGATCTTCCGTAGCCTCAATGATAAACAGCTTATTAAATTTTGTTTTTATTTCCCTTTTGAATAGAATGACTATTTTTATTTTTATATTCTCTGATTTGACAGGTCGTGGTTCTATTCCAGAATTCTTTCATATTATGAAAAGAAAGTTTACCAACAAGGAGTGGGATACAATCAGAAGTTTTAGTAATGAATGGACTCAGCTGGATATGTTTTACCGGCACTGGGTATAATTTCTTTGTGATTTTAACAGTAATAATGTATAATAATTTCCTTGTCTTCACTAGAAATATGCATGAAAGACTTGGTTTCCTGATACTATCATGCAGTGCTTTATTTAAATGGACAAATTCCTTGAGAACTTTGGTATTTTTTTATTATTTATATTATATTGTTATACCATTTATTTTGAGAAATTTTAACCTGTAATGTGCAATTAGAAGACAGCTTATTTTTAAAGCTAAAGTTTTATTTACTCATAATCTGCATTAAACTGATGCATATGAGCCTTAATTAACAGAAGATGTCACTTCAGTGTCTTTATAGTTTAATTCTTTTAGCAACCTGTTGAGGGTGACACTACTTGGTCATTATAGTTTACATTTGAGATATCATAAATAATTTATCTGAATACTACTAGCATTATTTGTTTCCAATTCTGTTATAATGAGCAAAGCAAAGGAAAAAATAAAAACATGGTTAGAAATGCAAATGTATTATATTTGTAAATGTTCTGAAAAGTTTTAGTTATTGAATACTTCAAGAGAATAATGTCCGTTTTCCTTGTAGGCACTAAAAGAAAGCTTCATAAAAGCTATTGGTGTTGGATTGGGATTTGAAATGCAGAGGCTTGAATTTGATATATCTCCATTAAACTTGGATATAGGCCAGGTTTATAAGGAAACACGTTTGTTCTTGGATGGGGAAGAAGAAAAAGAATGGGCTTTTGAGGTAAGAAATTTATTGTAATTGTTATAGCTAAGACTTTGCATATTTATATGTGTGAGGAATCTGTGATGTTCCTAATATTTACAAGAAGAATGTGAGCAGTTATGAGTGTATGTCTGTCTTGATTATGAATAGATTCAAAGTGTATAACATAAATCTAATTATTAAAACTAGCAAGTAGTAGTAGTGCTTGCTTTTAACCTAAGCATTTGGGATCTCTGTGAATTGGAGGCCAGCTGGTATACAGACCAGCCAGTTACTTGGTGAAATCTTGTCTCAAACAACAACAAAGAACCCAAAAAACGAGTATTAATAAGAAGGCTTGGGACTTGTGTTTTAAAATGTTCCTGTCTGTCCTAGTTAGGGCTACTATTGCTATGATGAAACGGTGACCAAAAGCCAGCGGGGAAGAGAAAGGTTTGTGTGACTTACACTTCCATGTCTTAGTCCATTACTAAAAGAAGTCAGGATAGGGACTCAAGCAGAGCTGCTTATTAGCTCCCCATGGCTTGCTCAGCTGCTTTCTTAAAGAACCTAGAACCCTAACCCAGGGATTGCACCACCAACAATGGGCTGGGCCCTTTTATATCAGTCATTAAGAATAAGCCCTACAGGCTTGCCTAAAGCTCAGTTTTGTGGAGGTATTATCTCGATTGTGGCACTCCCTCGACTCTGATGATTCTAGCTTGTGTCAAGTTCACAAAACTAGCCAGCACAGTCACAATGGAAATTAACAAGGCATATACTTTGTTAGTGAATAAAGTACTTAATCTTGCTTACATGTTACATGGTTCCAAGAGAGGTGCGTGCGTGCGTGCGTTTGTTGGAGGGAAGGTGGTAGAGGTATGTATAAAGTAAATAAGATTTAGAAATGTAAAAAGAAGTCTTGATTTATGTTTTATAATTTGCATTTATCTTTTTTTTTTCTTTAGGAAAGTAAAATAGATGAGCACCATTTTGTTGCAGTGGCTGTTAGGAAACCTGATGGATCTAGACAACAGAATGTAAGCTTTTATGGTCTTTTAAAAATCTTGCTAAAAATAAGAATGATTAAATGATGGTTTTGCTTTTATTGAAGAAAATTCTAATTTACCTTGAGTTAGGGGGTCAGAAGTCTTGGGGTTTTGTTTGATTCACGAGCTTCTAGTTTACAAGGTTTTATATTATCAAAATTTTTTAAATTATCTGGTATTTTATACACTCACAAAAAACTTACAAGATCTTGTTAGCCTTATATTTAGATATCCTTAAACATTGCAAAGTAAAGTTTTGATAGTACTATCAAATTTTCAGTAGAAATTCATTATCATCACTATCCTAGTTATAACAAGAATTTATTTCCTGGTGAATTGGGGATGTATTGAATATAAAGGTCACCAGGTTGGTCGATAGTGGAATCACGTTACAAATTAAACTTACTCCTAGCATTATAAATTGTTTCCAGAGTTTATGTGAGACTTCATATGATATTGGTCTTCTGTATTTTCAGTCATAGTCTGTTTATATTTCTAATGGTGAAAACTCCAAGACTCAATCTACATATAGCTGTAGTTGTGTGCAATTTCTTTGTGGAATACTAGTAACAAAATGTATGCCTTTGTTTTACATGCACACACACATACACCTTCATTATTACTTCTAGAAAAATGATGTAATCCACAGAGCATTTCTTTTATAAATAAAGACTGAATTTTGTCTTGGACTGTCTTGAGAAGGCTAGAATGTTAGAATTGATACTTGATAGGAGACAGTGTGATTTGGGTTATTCATCTTATTCAGCTTCATGCTCCCTCTGAATACTTTCTTGAGTACATTTATATAGTTCTTTATTTTAATAATATGTTCTTTGAAAATGTTAAATGTGTATAGGATGTATTGTGATCATATCTATTACCTCTAATTCTCTCTTTGGACTCCCTACTCTGCCTTTTTTCCAGCTTCATGTGCTTTAGGGTAGGGTTTCTGTTGTTGCTGCCATTATTGATAATCTCAAGTCCAGTTAGTGCTGCTCTATATAGGAATGGGGAGATCCACTGAGTCATGAGCTATTTTACTGACAGCCGTATCCCCAAAGTAGATTGTCTACCTCTCCCTGTAAGGATGGAGTTTCAGAGACCTTTATCTTACTCATGTAGGAATTTTGATGTGCTTGATTTTGTGAAGGTCTTAAGAGTTGATGGGTGCAATACCATGCCGTGTCTTGAAGTCCACATTTTACAGCTTTCTTCTTCATGTGCCAGCTTTTAAATTTTTCCTGTCCACTCTTCATGTTCCCTGAGCCTTAGATGAGGGGAGGTTATTGTAGAAGGCTTCATCCACAGCTGAGCACTCGCTGTTATTTATGTTTGGCACATGACCAGTTATGAGTCTGTTGGTTAACTGTTACCCATTACAGAAAAAAAAAAAAAAAAAAGCAACAACAACTCCTGATCAAAGGGGAAAGCAGTACTATGGGCATTAAAGATGGGCATTAAAGTAATAGAAGGCAATTTCACTACATGACAGTTCAACATAACAATTGTAGGTTCAGGCCCTAGGGCCTTTGCTGTCCCCAGTATGATCTTTTGACCCAGTTTTGCATTACCAGGTGTGAAATTCCTCCTGTGGATCAAGCCCCATATCCAGTAAAAAAAAAAAAAAAGTGGTTGGTTGCCACCATAATGATATGCCACTTTTGCAACATCAGTTAAATGTTTGTGCTTTCAGTACTTCTTCTTTCAGTAGAACCTCCTGCAGCAGTGCATAGTGGGAAAACTAGGTTGTAAGTCAAAGTTTACCTTTTGACTTGTGTGGTCAGCTTTTCCTGACCCTCGGTTTCCCATCTGTAAAATTGAGAGGACAATATTTTAGCATAGCCTAGAAACCATATAAATAAGTACTGAACTTTGTTAATGTCTGAAGTTCAAGTATGTAATATGAATTGATAGCCCTCATTTGAGGTGCTTTGTGCTGAAAGTGTTTTGGAGTTTAGATTTTGTCAGATTTTGTACTATTTTACTTATATATAATTATATTTTGAAGTTGACCCAATTTTAAATATGAACTTCATTTATGATTTCATATATACCACCTACATGCAGCCTAAAGGTAATTCTATACAATGTTTTTAATGTTTCTGTGTTCTGATTAGCTTGTCACGTGAAGTCAGGTGCCTTGTTGGTACTTAGTAATAATTTCTTGAATGAGTATCATCCCTGTGTAGTTACAGCACATCTGTTATAGCAGGCCTATACTTCAGTAGTGTTTCAAAAATTTTGCCTGTGGCCCAATTCTGCCTCCTGAAATTACGCATCTTCAGATTCTGAGATGCTGAGTCAAACTTCGTGCATACAGATCTCATTAGTCTATTTTAAGCAAATTTTGTAGGTGGTGGATTATGTAACTTGAAAAGCAAGTTCATATTTCACTTTTTTAAGTTGGTAACAATAGTATAAGGAGTAAAAACAATCTAGAAATTTTCCTAAGCCTTGATTTAATATTACTGAACTGAAATTATTTTATAATTATAAAACTCTTCATTCACTTAACATGAAGTATAAATAAAAACAGGGCAATCTATTTTTGTTTCTGTTTCTTTTCTCTCTTAGAGTTCATATCAAGATGATTCTAAACCATCCCAGAGGCAGTTTACCATTCTTAACTTTAATGATTTGATAGCATCTGCTGTTCCCATGACACCTGAGGATCCTTCATTTTGGGACTGTTTCTGCTTTACAGAAGAAATTCTAGTACGAAATGGTACTAAGTCGTGATAGGTTCCCTGAGTAAGTGGGGGGGGGGGGGGGTTGGCAATCTGTGTTCATTAAATAAAGTGCTCGATGTGGTCAGATTTTATTAAAACATTTTTAAAGACCCAAAGGCTTTTTTAAGAGCAGATTTCCAGTTCAGTGGCTTCTTTGAATATGTTTAAATCTTCCTTTCCAGAACTTTAATTGATAGAAATGATGACAGAATTTTCCAATGATAAATGTGCTTTATAGAAAGAAAACAGTAAAGTGTAAGCATGCTGAAGGCAAGCATTTTTAGAGAATTACCCTAAAATGAGTTATTGTTCCAGAAACTATTATTTAAATAAATTCTATATTAACTTTTTAAAAAGTGATAACATGTTTTGTAGTTTTAAGAGAATACATCTGCTCTTCGTAACTATTGTTGCTGCATAAGTTTGGTTCTAAAATATTGTCTTCTGTGATATCTATGTGGCATTAAGTTGTCATTAGTGTTACAGTACTAACAGCAGTAACAGAAACTGCTGCTGTAGCTTCCAGGTTTATTTTTTATAAAGTTGTGACATTTGTTTTATTAGTGATGAATAACCCCCCCCCCCCAAAGATTCCATCAATCAAATGTGTTTGACATATTTTACCACTGTCAAGAATACACTATTGAAAGGAAAAGCTAAGGCTGGCTTGGGAGAATTTCATTGAGGTAACACTACTGGGCTTAAGGAAGATGTACCATACTGTATTAATTTTCCTCTTTGGGGTTTTAATTGTATCATTAGTGTAAATGGTAGTGCAGTGAAAGCTCTGGCATTTTCAGTGACATGCTTAATTGTGTCTTACAAACAGGTTTTAGAAATGGAATGAATGATTCAAAGGATTTAAACATATTGTTGGTATGCGTTATTATAGTGCCCTTGAAAAATTGCCGTTTATACTTCAGTTAGTCGTGTATGCATACCACCATCTGTGTACCATCTGTAGATATTGCCTCAATTTTATTTTCTGAAGATTGGGTGGGTTGTTTTGTTTTTTTATTCTTTCCTTTTGTTGGTCTGGATAACTGAAATTGATAGCATATTTTAAGTTTGCATTTATGTCATTACAAATGAGGTTGATATGCTATCATTACTGGTTATTTTTTTTATGAACCTCTTGTTTATCTTCATCTGTTTTTACTTAATAAACTTAAACTGTTGATTACAGTAAAGAATATAATTGAAGTGGCATCCACAGGATCAAGTCAGTTTATAGTTTCCAGAGAGCTGATAAGAACCTGTGAACCCCATTTTTAAAAGAAGGGAAAAAATCTTACTATACAATGTCTTAAGAGCTTTAGGTTATTTGTCTTTGTAAGCATGTGGATTGGTGAATTTTGTACACCAATTTGACTGGGTTAGAGTGCTTATAGACCTCTGGACAAATCTTATTCTGGATATGTTGTTTGATGATATTATTGGATGAGATCAACATTTCAACTGATAGACATCAAACAGATGGTCCTCACACATGTGAGTGCACATGCAGAGACTGCTTGTTCATTTCCCAGATGCCCATACGCAAAACAATCACACAGAAACTATATCAATTAAAACACTGCTTGGCCAATAGCTTAGGCTTCTTATTAAGTAACTCTTACATCTTAAATCAACCCATCTGCACTAATCTGTGTATCACTGAATGGAAGTATGTCTCATTTGGTAGCTACACTGCATCTCTCTGATTCTGCCTTCTTTTCCATTAAGTATGTCTCATTTGGTAGCTACACTGCATCTCTCTGATTCTGCCTTCTTTTCTCCTTTATCTCTGCTTTGAATTTTCATCTTGCTCTGTTCTGCACTGCCATAGCTTCTTTATTAAGCAATAGTAATAAAACATATTCACAGCATACAGAGGAGGTGGCCTTCATCACGTCAACTGAAGATCTGAATATAACAAAAGGCTGTACCCGCTACAGGTGTGAATCCTGCTTTCAGAAGTGGTTCAACCAAAAGCTTGGCCCTTTTCCTTGTCTGCACTAGATACTGATGCATTGAATCTTTCTGTCACATGCTGATGGCTTTTGAAATGACACAACACCTGGTTTCCTAGTGATGATCCTTAGATCTTAAGACTTGAGATGACATTAAATATTAACTTACCCAAGTCTCTAACTCAAGACTTCTCAGCTTCTATAATTATATGAACCAATTCCATAGAACCTCTCTGAATTTAGAGATGCTTGGTTAATTCTCTATAAAAGGCTTAATACCTATATGTCTTGAAAAATGGTAAAATCCTATATAGATATTGTAAAATAAATAGGCATGTGTAGAAAAATATAAACATTTCAATTAGATTTAATTTCATCACTTACTATTTATCATTTGGCAAGAAGTTCGGATTTTGGGTCCATCAATTTTCTCATCTGTATAGTAAAACAATTATCACAATGAGCAAATGAAATGGAAAAAGCAAATAAATCCAATATTCAACTTATAGTGGTTAGAGACAGCACATCATATTTAATCAGGGATTACTTCATAAGCTTATCTTTATTAACTCTAGTGTTTCATTATTACTCCACCCTACATGTAAGGAAACTGAAGCACCAAGTACTTCACACAAGGTGGTAGACCTAGAAACTGGAAGTAACAGAATTTAAACGATAGAGCTCTGAATGTGGAACAGCACTCCTAATAATGTACAGGACTGCTTTCTGCTCAAAGCAAATGCTAGCTTCCTATCCTCTACTCTCTCTATTTCCAAGCTTCAAAATGCTGCAAAGAGGATAAGGACCCCTATCTATTCATCTTTTCCATTTTACATTGCAGCAGCAGGCCTAGCCCTTGTGTGTTATTTAACATATACCAATATGAGGATAAAGAGCCAGAGATAGTGACATCAAGAAAGAAATAGGAGCCCTATACAACTTCTTTTTCCTGCTAGGTTTGCTTAATGTAGCATCTTGGCAAGCATTTACATAGTGAAGGAAATTACTTCCTTTGGAAATTGGATCTTCCCTGCAGCTACTGACCATATATTTGCTCAATAGGAATTCAGTATTTATTTTTCACTAGCTGAAGATCCACTGTACATAGTACTCAAATCTTCTATTTTCATATTGCCTTAGGCAACTTACCTTTTGGATCAAATCATAGCCTTGGTACAATTAGAACCAGTGCTTTTATTTTACCACTTTGATTTCCAGAGGACGTGTTTTTACTTCATACATAATGATAATTTTTTACTTTAAATGTTTTGTTTCAGTTTAACAGAAGCCCAAGGTAAATTGTTTGTGAACTGCAGCATGTTAACTTAATGGGAAAATGGCTCACTTTAAAAGACTATGAATGGCTTTTCTCCAAGACTTCACTGATGATTTCAATCTCTGAAGAGATTAGATAGAAACTAATATATTTGTGCTTGCACTGGAGAGGTAAATGAAAAAAATCATTCCTTTTAATGTTTATTGTTGAGCTATTTCTTTATTGCCTTGGAGGTTCAGATCTTATTTTATTGAAATTACATAAGTTCACCTGAGAGACAAAGTGAACAATGATGAAAATTTTATTTTTTCTCATATGATCATATTTTGGAATATATGATAGGCAAATCCTGCAGTAGATATATTTAAAGGTCATTATTACCACAATTAAGAGTTATTAGGTTTATAATAGTTTGTTCTGATTCTATGCTAAAAATAAACATGGATTCATTAGGTCATATATTTAATTAACTTTACTACAAATAAAATCAGTAAATGTGCTTCAAAAAAAAGCCACCAAATCCACAGATACTGACTTTTCTGAGTTAGGAATTGCTAGCAATCTCTTTTCCCAGAGAAATAAAAGACCTTCCATGTTGTTTATTTTGTATCATTTGTATACATTTCCTTGTGTCTAGAAATCCTTTCCATTGTGGAAATTCATTGGTCTGAAGAACTATCTAACAACCTGGTGTAGTAAAATATGGAGTGAAAGAGAAAGCTAATATAGAGACTTCAGAGTATCACAAGCTATATTGTCCCCATGTGTTTGTACAATCAGGAGTCTTTGGTGTAGTGATATCCCCAGTAGTTGCCCACAATAGATATATTAAAGTCTTCAGAAGATTAAAGTCAACAGAGATAGCTGACTGGCTATTAATAAGTGCTTTTTATCTACAAAACAGTTAGACATAACAAAAGAAATGCATAATAAGGCAATAACTCAAAGTTTTAATTCATATTGCCCAAATTGCTAAAACTATTCAATACTTTATAGATTATTATTCCTTCTTTTGTTAACTCTCTGCTCAGACCCATAAGCCATTTTTAAATATGTCACTTGTTTTATTGGTTCTTTGCATATTCTAGATACTAATTTCCTATCAAACATGTAACTGGCAAAACAATATAGGTTGTTGATGTCGCCCTTGGCTACATCTCAGAACCTGAAGGTTGATAGAAACAGTACACACTTCAAACTTGCAAGAATCAAACTGAAACTGACCTGCAAGCCTCCTAGATGGAGACTAGCTCTCAAAGTATTCAAAGGTATTATGCTAGCTCTCATAATATTCAAAGGTACTATGCAAGCTTCCAAAGAAGAAAAGCAATTAAAAGTGTTATCCATCTTTAACACTGATGAGTCACAATGACCAGCACAGCAAGATATCTGCAAGGTAGCAATAGTGGCACCTACATCTTTTGAGTAATCAACAACTATCCAATTGAACTTAAAGCCTGATCAATAGAAGGGTATCCATGCTTGGTGCTATTTATGCATGGAGCCTCGATGAGAAACTACAACTGCCCTTTTCTAAGACAGCATAACTAATAACTGCATTCTAAAGACTCTTTCCACAGCCAAATGTTGCTCTTACCACCATCAAAGATGCACCTTCTATTTTTTTTTCCAGTAAAGACCTTTGCAAAAACCTACAACTAGTAAAAATGCAGAGAACAATTGAACATGGGATGCCAAAGCTCATATAATATATCTACAACACAGTCCCTACACATAAGAGTCAGGAAACATCATAGAAGAAGGAGCAGAATGATGGCAAAAGCCAGAAGAGGACATCGGCTAACGATAGTGTCTTCTGTTCCTAACCGACACTTTTACCCATGGATCCTCTACAGACACTTAAATAATACCCATCCAGTGACAACACCAGTGGACATGTCAATATAAGTCAGGGAATCTTACAGGTCTCCACCCCATATGAAGAGCTACAGGAAGTTAATGGCTGTTAAGAGAAGGGGAATCAGTCTTCTCCAGGGATATGCCTCCAGATAAACTATCCAACACCAAGTGGTCAGCCTTAAACACATACATAGCTAGAACAACACTAAACAGATTTACTAAGTTAAATTATATATACATACATAATTAAAGAAGAAAAAGTCATGAATTTGAGACGTGGTGAGGAAATAAGGAAACAAGGGAAGAAGTAGGAGTGAATGGAAAGAATGTCAACACAGTACTCATGTATGAGATTATAAAAAGGTAAATAAAAAATAGTTTCTTTTACTGTAAACATAATACCACTTAAAATGTAAAGAAAACATTAGATACATATAAATTTATTATAAATCAAAATGAAAAAGTAAAAAAGGATGTTACTGCAATTTTAAAAAATAAAGTTGCAATGTTTTCAAAATGAAGGAAAATGTGATTTAGTGGAAAGATTAATAAATTAAAAATCAGTTAATTCTGAATTCAAGCCAGTATTTTTCATGTGTTTTCTCTATAATTTTTAAGTAAATTTCTGAATGTATCTGAGACTCTATAGCTCTGTATTTTAATTGTGAGTTATAATACCTATTTCATAGTGCTAAGTGTATATTAGATGAGTAAAGTATAAGAGAAATCCCTGTATTATTAATATTAGGTACATACACTCTTCTTTCTCCTTCCTTTATTTAGAATATACAGTCTTAGGCAGTTTTAAAATTATTATGTAATAAAAATAATGGTTGACTATCAATCATAATCCTTCCTACACAATACTGTAAATCACATCTCAAGAATAGCAATAATAAATTATGATGACTCAACTTGATGCTAATATTGGTATTAGTGTAACTGCTTGTATAGACTTTAAAATTATTGGCATTTTTAATTAAAAAGCTTTTTTGAATTGTAGTAGGATATTTACTCATGTCCAGTACTTTACAGAGATCCCTTCTAACTGCAGATGTTGCAGCTTCATTTGCATAGTGGAGCAGTAGGTTTCACCATATAACTCATGATCAATATATAGTAAAGTGTTTCCTACACATTACTATAAATTAAATGTGCTTAGGTTCCATATTGCTAAAGAAACAAATGCTAAAATAGATACATTTTTCTTTTATGGAAAATATATTTTCTTTTCATATAATATGTTCTGTTTCTAATTTACCTCATTCTACTGTCAGATCCTCTCCATCTCCTTTCTCATCTTTATCTATCCACTTTCTGTCTCTCTCTTGAAAACAAATAGATTTCGAAGAGAAAATAATAATCTAAAATATGGACCAGAGCCAGTGACTGCTGAGAGACCTTCAAGGGAGTAGACCTAAGCCAGGACCACTGTCTGTCTGTGCCTGAGTTTAGGACCTCCCAAGAACTAGGACTGAGACAGGACCTCTGCCAGTTTGGGCATTAATCTGGGACCTCCAAAGAAGTAGGCAGAAACCAGAGATCTCTGCAGAGCCAGGCATGTGTCTGGGACCTCAGAGGGAGTAGGCCTGAGCCAGAACCTCTATGGGTCCAGGCATTTGTCTGGAACATCAAAGGGAATAGGCAGGAACCTAGAATTTCTGCCGGTCTAAGCATGAGTCTGGGACTTCTGAGGCAGTAAACTTGAGCCAGGTCCTCTGCAGTTCTGGGTGTACCTGAGCCTGTAAACTCCAAGGCAGTAGACTAGATCCAGAAACATTTGCAAAACCAACTCGAAGCCAGGGACTTCTGCAGTAGGGGATCCAGACTAGGATTTACAAAAACAGGTCAAAGCCAGTAACCTAGGCCAAAGTAGACCTCAGAGAGCAAACTCCAAGGGAGCAGAGCAAAGCACAGGATTACTGAGCTACCTCCAGGAACACAGAGTAACCATTAGGATAGCTAGAACTGTGTCACTGACTGTACCATGAGGAATAACCATCTAAGCTTTGGATTCATTGGCACCTAGAAGATTATTCAACATAATCTCAGACAGTCCCAACCACATCTATTAGAACAAAAGATGAGTAGAAGCCCGGCGGTGGTGGCGCACGCCTTTAATTCCAGCACTCGGGAGGCAGAGGCAGGCGGATCTCTTTGAGTTCGAGACCAGCCTGGTCTACAAGAGCTAGTTCCAGGACAGGCTCCAAAACCACAGAGAAACCCTGTCTCGAAAACCCCCCCAAAAAAAAAAAAAAAAAAAAGATGAGTAGAAAAGTGTAGACCCATATTTCTGTATGGTGTGGCAGCCAGGCTCTGAAGCCATAGGCCCTGCCTGAGGTGGTTGTATAGCCCTGCAGACAGGCTGTCACTGCCCTAACAAAAGCCAAATGTGCTGCTCCTATCTCTTTTGTTAAAAATGTAGATTACCTGGGGAGAGGTGTTTGCTGAAGCTGATGACTAAGTTGCAAGTGTTTCCCTAGCCCCATGTTCCCTGGAAAGAGAATATTAATGAGGTATCCACCTTGGGTTACCTGAGGGATAAAAGATGTTTTGTATAACAAATGTGCGGAGATCTACAGGATGGGGAGAAGCCTGAGATGCCCTTCCATGATGATGGTATAAGCTGTGTCTGGTTATTTTTCATGCCTCCGTACCGGTCCAGTTAGGGAAAATAGTTTTCTATGTTTGGGCTTTCGGTCCCTGACAGAAAAGGTAAGAACACATGCAATACCACAAAGAGCAACACAACACCAGTAAAACCTAAATACTCTACAAGAGCAAGACCTAAACAACCAAATATAGATGAAGCAGAAGAAAATGACCTAAAAAATAACTTCAAAAGAATGTTTGAAACTCTTAAAGAAGAAATGAGAAATTCCCTTAAAGAAATGGAGGAAAATACAAACAAAAAATTGAGACATCAGCAAATCCCTCAAAGAAAACCAAGAAAAATAAATCAAACATATGAAAGAAACTATTCAAGATTTGAAAACTGAAATAGAGACAATAAAGAAAACACAAGCTGATCGAAGTATAGAAATAGAAATAATGAGAAAATGATCTGGAACCACAAATGCAAGCATGAACAGCAGAATACAAGAGATGGGAAAGAGAATCTCAAGCGCTGAAGATACAACAGAGGAAATAGACTCATCAGTTAGAGAAAGCATTAAATCTAACAAAAGCTTAACCTAAAATATTCAGGAAATATGAGACACCATGAAAAAGACAAATCTAAGAATAATAGGTATAGAAGAAGGAGAAAAAAGTTCAACTCAGAAGCACAAAAATATATTTAACAAAATCAAAGAAGAAAACTTTCCCAACCTAAAGAAAGATATGCCTATGAATATACAAGAAGAGTACAAAACACCAAATAGACTGGATCCAAAAAAAAGTCCTCTTGCCACATAGTAATCAAAACACTAAAGATACAGAGTAAAGAAAGAATATTAAGAGCTACAAAGGAAAAAGGCCAAGTAACATCTAAAGGTAGACCTATCAGAATTACACCTGACTTCTCATTGTAGACAATGAAAGCCAGAAGGTGTTATTCAGACATTAAAAGACAATGGATGCTAGCCCAGACTATATACCCAGCAAAACTTCCAATCACCATAGAAAGACAAAACAAGATATTCCATGACAAAATTAGATTTCACCAATACCTAGCCCCAAACCCAGTTCTATACAAAATACTAGAAGGAAAACTCCAACCCAAGATGTAGTAGGAGGAGACTGGGTCCTTTGTTTTGTCCCACCTGGCTAGCTTACACCATAAAGAATCACACAGAAATTGTATTAATTAAATTACTTCCTGGCCCATTAGCTCTAGCCTCTTATTGGCTAACTCTCACATCTTGATTAACCCATTTCTATCAAATCTGTGTATCATCACGTGACTGTGGCTTACTGGCAAGATTCTAGCCTATGTCTGTCTCAGACCAGAGATTCATGGCATCTGCCACTCTGGTCTTTTTCACAGAATTCTGTTCTGTCGTCACCACCTACCTGAGATCTGCCCTATCAACTAGGCCAAGGCAGTTGGCCTAGTTACTTTAATAACCAATAAAAGCAACACAAATACAGAAGGACCTCCTATACAATTTCCCCTTTTCTGTTTAAACAAAAAGAAAGGTTTTAACACAGTAAAATTACATATAACAGGTATCAAGCAAGAATTACAATTATTACAGTATATCTGTTTTATCTTTTATCATAACAAAGGAAACTATAACTGTAACTATCTGTCTATTTTTCAACTCAATCAAAAACTCCACAAGGATATAATATTACCTAAGCACCTATTGGTTTTGTGGGAGCCTAGGCAGTTTGGATGTTCACCTTACTAGACCTGGATGGAGGTGGGTGGTCCTTGGACTTCCCATAGGGCAGGGAACCCTGATTACTCTTTGGGCTGACGAGGGAGGGGGACTTGATTGGGGAAGGAGGAGGNTAAATAAATAAATAAATAAAATATTACCTAAGTAAACGAGAAGTAAGCAACTTCTAAAACTCTAGAAATGACAGAGGCATCTCACTACCTGGACAGTCACCCAAAGATTTTTTGTACTGTTGGGGCATCCATCTTTGCCCTTCAGGCCCATAGTGTCCAGCAGACTTTTCCATGAAGCAGGGAATTTCAAAGACAGTTTGGTCATTTTCTTTTGTATCCTGCAGAATGTCTCATATACTCTTTCATGAAACAGGAACCCCGAAGGATCATCTTACCTTTAGGCAAGTTCAAGCTCTGACCCAAGATGGACACTGGTTAAACTCATGCCGGTAAGCCACAGTCAAGTGGTGAAACATTATTAGAAATGGGTTAAAAAAATATGTAAGAGTTAGCCAAGAAGAGGCTAAATATAATGGGCCAGGCAGTGTTTAAAAGAATACAGTTTCCATGTAATTATTTTGGGAATAAACTAGCCAGGTAGCCTTGTGGCGGGAATGCAGCCCACTGCTCCTTACTACAGACTAATGTGAATGATCTGTTTGCTACTAGAGTTAAGTGATCTCTGGCCTCAGTTATTGCCAAGGGCCAATCTTGTTCTACGATCCTGAAGCAGTCCAGGGGGGCATGAGTTGATAGTTGTGGCTCCTGTAACCATTGAGGGTGGTGCAGAGTCCCACAGTTTGGGCCACTTCCTGGGGCTATGTTGATGCACCTGGCCCATGCTGCCACAGTAACAAAAAGTATCTGAGTGGCCTGCACTGCCATCTGGGGCCATAGTGACATCTGGACCACACTGTTGTTGAGGACCATGTTTGGTTCTGTGGTTCTACCACACCTGGAATGGTCTGTGGTCCTATCACACCCAGGATCTGTGTATCACATAGTGCCATCAAATGCCACATGGATGCCCAGGGTCTAAGCTAAAATCTGTGACCATGTTGGGGTCTGAAGGCTGTGCTATAGTCGGGATCAGGCCTATGTGAGTCCTGGCACCTAGGATCATGATGTCGTCAGGGCCAGGTCTGCTGCAAGAAAACTGTCCGTGCTCCTTCCTGCAGACTATGTTGAGTGGGATGGCCAAGGCAGTGATGCAGATGGGGCAGTAAGTTGATGGATTCACCAGGCCAGCTATCTCCCAGGCCCCGAACCAGGGCTATGAGTTGGCCTAACTCAGCAACTACCTCATCTATGAGCTGTTGAAGCATGTGATGGGGAGAGAACGACAGATCCAAAGCTGCAGGATTACTACGACACAGGACAGCAAATGGATATCTTAGAGGAGCCGCAGTGAGAGCCCATTGACAGTGGTGAAGCAGAGACCAGAGGCTATAAACCAGACTGATAACTTATGGCAATGAACACTTGTAGGTGATGATGAGGGAGCTAAGGAGTGAGCTGTATGGCACACTGAATCATGTTACCGATTCCATGAAGAGATTCTTCTCCTTTAAGTTTTTGTTTAGTTTGTTTTGCTTTGTTTGCATGCTTTTTTTTTTTTAATTTGCTTTGTTGTGGGGAACTTGCAAGAGGAGAGGGCAGATGAGGGGGA